CCATTGACCTCGCATCCCTACAAAGCCGGGACGGAGCACGCCGGGTTCTCGCCGGACCAGGCTCTCACATCACCAAGCGCCAAGCGCTGTGAGATATTCGACGAGTCACATGAAGGGTGCACTGCATCCTGCTAAGGGTGTTCGGCATCTTGTGCTTGCTTCCTTGCGTAGGGATGACAGCTTCGTATGACTAAATTTATTTTCTGGTGCTTTCACTTCCAGAGACAGTTGTAAGCACTGTGTAACTGCCTCGAGGGTGCTTGACCATTTTAAGACACCGTGGTGCGATCATCCCCCTTGCGCGGAGTGAGGGTTCTCGACCCTGCACAACATGATCTACTCGACCACCATTATGGTTACCGCCCAAAACAAAACAGAGGTGAAAAAAAAAACCGATAACCTGGTTGCCGAGTTCACGAAGTGAATTGGCTTGTTGCTTGTTTTGCAACGTCGTTGCCAAGCGACGAAAACCCAATCCCGATGGCAACCACCGAGGCGGGGGCTTGTTTGACAACGTCGTTGCCAAGCGACGAAAACCCCACGGGGGCAAGCGCACAGGGGGGCGATCGATGTCAAAGCGTAATTTTTCAACAACCAGAAGGGTGCGAGTGCCAAGGGATACTTCTCAGGAAAGCTCTGGATGAGATGTTTCCAAAACCACCCTATTCGACAGTGGAAACCTCCTGCTTGTGGAGGAATTACGCTTTGAAAAATCGCTCGCACCCCTGTGCTCTAGCCGACTCGCAACCTTAAACATGAAAATGTTTGACACACCAGGCGGGGTGACACAGCAACAAGAACAAACAAATAGCACAAGGTGCGCAAGAAAAAAGTTGCGTGCGCATCCAGCGAGGTCTCCTTGGTGCTGTTTCCTTGCACCTTGCTGCTGCTGCTGCCACGCCTATCATGGTTTTGTGGGGGGGGGGTGGGGTCCCGTCCCGTGCTGGTCTACGATGCAGTTTCGTGTACAGAGGTATGAATGAGACTTGAGAGATGGGTGTCGCACGTCTACGCATAGCGGGCGAATTTTTCACTCTGCTTGGTAAGCTGGCCTTCATGCGACGCCGTGTGCACATGCGTTGTCGGTTGCACCAGGAACGCTCTGGAAATCGTTGCTATTTCCTCTCCTGGGCCAACCCTGCTTGCCCCGGACGAAAGGCTGTGTATCAAAGAAAAGAGAGCGGACCAGTACTACACAACAACTGAGCCAGCAATCATTGCTGCGCATGACAAAGCAGAGAAAGGCAGTAATGCCAAGAGAAACAACCTTAGCGATAACCTTTTCGGGTGTACATTTGCAAGCACAAAAGTCGTACTCTGACACTCGCTAAGCATCCGTGAGTGTACACAACGACACAGGGTGCTATCTTCCATCATTTGACATTCATACCGGCGACAGCGACTTACGACTCACACACAAGACCAACGGGCAGGGTCGGCATCATCGTGCTCGAGGGTCTATTGCAGATGAGACTTCATCGCGGGACTACTGCTACCATAGCTTCTCACAATTTTTCCAGGCTTGCAGCAAGCAGACAGCAGGCACGGCATGTGTGTGACTTTGCCGTACGATCGGCCGCGGCGTGATCTGCTCGCAGGAGACCGGCTGTACAGCAGTACAACCAACCTCTCGTGTCTGGGATTGTTTTTGTTTGTTGTACGACTCGCAGGTGGGCCCAACGCGCGGCCTCTGCATGCTGCACACCTAATCGCACGCACGCTTGAATATGATCAGTCTGCTGCTGCACAGTCAATCTCAAACATCAGAATAGCATAGGGATGCCAGAAGCAGTGCTACACGACGCGGCTTCCAAGTGTCACGACCATCGCACGATTATTGCCGGTAACCAGGCCACTGCAACACTAGCCCTGTTTCCTCTCTGCTGCGGACAGCACCATGACAACAATCAGAAGGACGTCTCCTCACCCATCTCTGCCACGGACTTGGACGATAGGTTTTCCTCGGTCTATGTGTGCTCCGGTAACCTGTCGCCCGTGGCTGTGCTGTGTGCCAGCTCGCTCTGCACTGCGCGGGCGAGCGCGCGAGGGAGGGGGCCTCCATACCGCAGAACAACACATACTATAATTGTTTCATTGGGAGACCCCCTCTACAGCAGCAAACTGCGCCGGTCGCATGGCCATCGTGCTGGCTGCGGGCGTGCGATGGCTCGTGTGGGAGTAGGGAAGGAGATCATGCCTGATTCGTACCAGCATATCAAGCAGCGCACAAGGTATAGCGCATCTTGTGTGGATATCATCAGCAGTACAAGGGCCAAGTGTGGACTGTCCAATTATGGACTGTTTTTTTCTCTCCGCATCACAAAGGTCACTGCATTCGATCACATCATCAATGATCTTGTTCCAAACATGCAGGTACAACCAAAAGCAGGAGGCGTGTACATTAGACTGTTGCAGACAGAGCTAGCTCCATGTGTAGCAGTGCGAAGGCGTAGATGGTGTAAGTTGAAAATCATCGCTTGCCCCCATCGCTGTTGTGTTTTGTGTCTGCACCCGTGCCTCTAGTAGGCTGTGAGACTCCATGGATGTGCTGCTGTGTTCAATGCCCTGCCCGTGTTCTACAGCAACTGTTTGGTGGTGGTGATGGCACAGACTGCTAGCATACACCACAACAACAGTACGCTCGTGCCACAGACGCCTTTCAGTAAACATTGTCTCGCAATCCGACGTTCGGCTTGCGCTCTGCTTCATGTGTTAGACCCACAATATGCCCCTCAACGCCGTATCTCTCCACCCACAAAGGAAATGGTGCTGGCGCAGGGATTGCCCAGTACAGCCAGCTCACACCACGCCGGCGTACGCCCGTCCCACACAACGCCTTTTCCAGGAAACACGGTCTCGCGATCCAACGTTTAACATGCACTCTGCTTCATGTTCTTCACGTATACCGTATGCCCCTGAATGTTGTGCTTCTCCTTCGAGAAGAATTGCCAATCCTCCAACCTGAGATCTACCTGTGCGCATTCGTGTATGGCATGACCGTCAGCATCCCATGGGCACTTGCACCATTTCCAGCGATAGTCTTCCCGCAATAACTGCCGGGGAATGCTAAGCCACGGAAGAGTTGCTTGCAAAGGCACAATTACTCACCGTTGCCAGATTGTCACCATGTTACGGCGTACACAACAAGTTCTACAACAGCACGGCGACTGCTATCATGTGTCATACTTGTGTTGTCCGTGTTTTTTCACGTGTGTACCTTGGTGTACCAGCCAACACCGGCAGCAGATGGTATCCTCGTATTACTTCCATTATCATTTCTGCCCCACATAGCGTGTAGGCGGGAGCGGAGGGGCCCAGGCTATCTGTCGTTGATTCCAATTGGCTTGCAGATCGGTCGGGGCCATTTTATTTCAGTGTGCCTCTCGTGGGTACGTTAGCCTGTGACCACGGGAATCGACCGGTCAGGTGTTTCGTCAGCAAGGATAGATGAAGCTGCTGGGTAGAGAGAACGGGACGGTTTTCAATGTCAAGACAACAACAATAACAACAACAACAGTACTGTAGCCTTCTCCATGTTGGTTGCGTTGTTTTCCTCGAGACGCTTTGCCCACCCTCTGTCTCACCAGCAAAGCAATGCAGGATTCGCTGCAGGCACCACAGCAACTCAGCAACACACGTAGTTGCTGGCTCAGTTGGAGCATCATAGCCGCCGTTGGCGTGTCAGCAAGTTTTCGACCAAAGCCGGGAAGGGATATAGAGGAGGATGAGGGTGGACGCACGCAACCACAGCAAGGGAAATTACTCAATTTTCGTGTCACAGAAGACAACAGCAGGGAGAAGGGCGGCTTCGAACCAAGGGCGTAACAGCAGTCTCGCGACCAGACATTGGTCCCACACGTCTGTCGCCTGTTCTTCATGGGTGAACGCTTGGGTTTAGCATTGTGAATTGTAAAACGTGTTTCTCAACGAGCGTGGCTTACGGGGAGATCGGATGAATATCTCCCCCTCCCCGTTGCCTTAGCAGGATGCAGCGCACCCTTCATGCGACTCGCCGAATATCTCACGGCGCTTCGCGCTCGGTGATGTGAGAGCCTGGTCCGGTGAGAACCCGGCGTGCTCCGTCCCGGCTTTGTAGGGATGCGAGGTCAATGGTCTAACGACTACGGCATGCACGACTATGAGTATGAGTACACCCCCCCCGTTTCTTCGTACAAGAAACGCCCGCTGGGTTTACAGTTACAAGGCCTCGCCAGCGGTTCAATGAACGGGCCCGACCAATTCGGCATACAGATAAGAGTAAAGTGGGTGTACGGTATATAACGAAAGGGGGGGTTACTAGTGTAAACGCATGCCACAGTCTTTGGACCATAGACCTCGCATCCCCACAAAGCCGGGACGGAGCACGCCGGGTTCTCACCAGACCAGGCTCGTTAGGGGGGGATGTGACTCATGTAGACGCATGCCGTAGTGGTTACACCCAAGACCTCGCATCCCTACGATGCTGCTGGGACGGAGCGATAGGTCTTCCGGGTTTTCGACAGGGGGTTGATCTTCACCTAATTTACGAGCGGATCAGACGTAGATTAACTCTCGGGGTTTGGGGAGCTTGTGACAACACCAACGTTGCCGAAGCAAGCGTACCTCGGGAAATGTTGAGGGAAAATCATCCTATCGACAGGCAGGCTTACCGGCCGCCGGCCGGAAGATAGGGGTGGGAGGTTCTCGAGTCGCGTCACCCACGGTTTCCGACTCCGGCTTGCGCGAAAACGTTCGTCGTTGAACATCTAGGTGTTGCCCTATTCTATCATCGGTCGGCAAAATTGGACGGTCCGAAGGTGGTTCTTTTTTCGTTGCCCCCCACCCGCCTCCTGAGGCAGTTACACAGTGCTTACAACTGTCTCAGGAAGTGAAAGCACCAGAAATTTAATTAAGTCATACGCAGCTGTCATCCGTACGCAAGGAAGTAAGCACAAGATGCCGAACACCCTTAGCAGGATGCAGTGCACCCTTCATGCGACTCGCCGAATATCTCACGGCGGATCGCGCTTGGTGACGTGAGAGCCTGGTCCGGTGAGAACCCGGCGTGCTCC